GATTTGCCAGTGGACTTGGTGTGGGTGAAAGGGGAGTTAAGGATGGCTCCTATGTGTGGGGCCTGAACAGCTGGAGGAATGAGGTTGCCCATTGCCTTTCACAGAGGTGGGGAAGACTTTGAGGGTGGGCCTTGAGGGGTGGAATCTAGGGTTTAGTTCTGAACTTAAGTTTAAGATGCCTGTTATAGATGTACACCAAAATGTGCGGTTCCCAGCTCCTTGGAGTTACGAAATAGTTAATTCTCGAAAGAAAGGCCTAAAATTGTTTTTGTTCATAAAAACTATTTAAAGGATAGTAAATTGTCACGCAAAGTAATGATTAAGCTCCACGTCAGCATCCAAGAGTACAAGCTCTTCAAATGAGAATCACCTTTGTTAAGTACATGAATCTTCATTTTCCCTTGCCAAGAGATGTTATTTCATACAACGGGAATTCCTTGGAATAAGAAGGTGCATATCTTCTCTTTTCTTTGCCATGCTCTTGCCCTATTGAGATCACTCAGGAACTTAAACAGCTATTTACTCAGATATTTCTAATGACTATGTCAAAATATTGAGAACCACAAAGTAAAATTTATTTCCACTTAATGTTTGTTATTTTATAAATATTATGTAGAAGTTTTCCTTAATCTAATAATTATTTGTTCTGATGATATAGATGAGTAGCATAATACATATATGTTGGTTGAGCATAGAGAAATGTTAAAATACTGGGAGCTAATGTTTCATAAGAGAAGCGCTGTTCCCAAACATTGTTTACAGCTATTCATTCACCCAGCAAGTATTTCTGTGCTTTATTCTGTAGACTGTATATACTTTCTACAAAAATTGCTGCTTAACTCTTTCTAATCTCTTCATTAAACAAATTCTCAAGGAATAAGAGACTATTGGCTTGAATATAGAATTCATAGGTAAAGAGACTCTTGATTAACCATAACTCAAATAAGTGAAGACTTAAGATTAATCATAGTGCTTTCACTGCTGAAATCACAAGACAAAGTGTCACAAACCACAAGATAATTGGTTTTTGTCAAGTTTATTTATTCTGCTGCCCTCAGTGCTACAGATGTGCGTCTGTGTGTGTATGTGTATGTGTGTGTGTTTGTGTATACTTTTTGACTAACCACGTATTTCCCAGAAAATGAATTAACCAGGATACATCATTCTCTGGGTATTTCAGTTAGTTCAAGTGTTTTTTATGTGAAAGTAGTAAAACTATATTTCTTTTCCAAAAAGTCTGTGACATAGACTTTTTATTGGTGCAACCTAGCTTTATGTTTAATGAGTTCTCATTAGTATGAATTTATAGTATAATACAAAACAGATGGACTATTTATAAGGATACTTTACTTCATGCAGTAGGAATATATAATAAATAACATGTTTGGCCCTTTGTTATAAATAAAAGTATATAGTTAAATGCAGTAGGAACTTACTATTTAAAGAAATATTTCAATAAGTCTCATAAAATACAGAAGCCTTTATATTCACAGTGCAAAATAATAAATATTTCTATTCAGCCTTCAGTAGCTTTTTAAAGAGCTCCCCCTCCAGCCCATTGCCCCCAAGAGCATCCATTCTGACGGGCCTCTTCCTGTTTTGAGTTTCCAAGTATTGGTGGGCTGGCTAGACGATAGAAAATAAATTTTCTGCCCGTATTCATCTGCAAGTTACATACTTGAAAACTAATGAACAGTGCTGCTATTATTAAAATGTCTTTGTACCCAATAGTTCTGGATCAAAAGACTGATACATAGTTTTACTTTTCAAAAACAAAAACTACTGGTTCATGTTCCTAAAAATATCAGTGACCAGCAGTACCCAAAGTAATTCATTTATCTGTAAAAAAAAATAAAAATGAAGGGCGTAAACTAGACACCCACCAAAATGGCTAAAAAGGATTTTTTTTAAGTTATCAATATCAAGTGTTGGTGAGGACATAAGCAAATGAAACCCTCATGCACTGCTTATGGGAATGTAAATTGGAAAAATCACTTTGGAAAAAGTGTTTAGCGGTATCTACTAAAGTTGAATGTATCTGTACTCTGCGACTCAGGATCTCTGCCCAACAGCAACATGCACATACCTGCTCCAAAAGACATGTTCGGGAATATTCACAGAGGCATTATTCATAGCAGCCCCAGACTGAAAACAGCGGAGTTGCAGAATGGGTAAATTGTGACAAAGTCATATAATGGAACACTGTTAGAGGGGGAAAGAGAATACAGGGTGTCCTAAAAGTCTCCGTACACAAGAAAAATTTCATAAAATTTTGTAATGAATATTTTGTAAATAAAGGTACATTTAGCTACAATTTCCTATTTTCCCTACATATGGCAACTTTTGGGACACCTCGTAAGAGTACTGCTGCACACGACATGGTATTAATAACTCTCAGGGAGAATGTTGAGCCAGAGAAGCCAGAACAAAAGAGTATATATTGTATGATTCCATTTTTGTAAAGTACAAAAACAGAGAAACTTAATCTATGGTAATAGAGGTCAGAATAGGGGTCCTCTTTGACAGGTGGAAGGTAAAGTCCAGAACAGGGTACTGGGAGGCTTGAGAGGTGTATGTGGTTAAAATGGCGTGTTCACTTTGTAAAAGTTCACTGAGCTCTGCCCTTAAGATTTATTTACTTTATTACAAGTATATTATACTTAAATATGCAAAGTTGACCCACCCCAAAAGGAAGAAAAAGGTAACAGATTTATTGGAAAAGGCCTTACTCCCACTTTTCTTTTATCGGCCTATAAATGGAAACAAAGTCTTCAAGCTAGAGAGTACCTTTAAGGAGTGACAATCATGGGAAAAGAAGGAACATCAACACAAGCAAATTAAGACCCAAAACTCCTAGACTCTTACTTAGATGATGGTGAATCCAGAGACAGAAAACTTAATAATATTTTAAGGGAAAAGTAAGTATTTTGTAATTCTGTAACTGCCTTACCAAGGGCAATAATAGGAACACATGTCCTAAACAGGAATCCCTTTTATCATGTTTACAAGCATTAATTATTAGCACGTATACCAAAGGAAGACCCCCCACAGTACTGTTGGACTTGTGGTTTAGCAGACCTTCACTGATCCTGGCTCGGTCACTCTTCATCACCCATGCCTGTTTCCCCAGTGTGCCCACATCCACCACACGGGATTCTTGTGCCTTTAGCCTGTTACGGTGCCTTCTGGACTCTAACGCTGGTCAGGAGGACTTCACAAACCTCCCATAAGAAGTTAACTTCTGTTCACTTCACAGTCTTATAAAGTAGCTTTGAAAGCTAACAACTAGAGCTAACCAATAAGATTTCTGTCTCACAAACCTACTACAGGGAATTGAAGAAAAACTTAATTCTCCTGGTAAATGATAAATGTCCTAGTGAAGTTTAATCCAATATAGGAATATCTAAAATAGCAAAGTATAGTTACTCCAGATCACTTTATTACAGTGGGATTTTTATAACTATATTTGCAAGGTAATCTACTAAGTAATTTTTATGTATAATACTCCTTTCTGATTGGCATAAAGCATACAATTGTCTGTGGTATTTTTTGGCAATCTTACATTTAAGTCTTCGGAGTACAGAAGAGCATAATGAAATACTTTCCTGGATATGACATTCATTCATTCATTTACTTATTTACTTACTTACCAAGCACACAGGGAGAAAAACAGAGTGATTACCCAATATCCCAGTGGGGCCCAGAAGTTTATATTCCCTCATTTTAGAGGGGAGGGGAAAGTAAGGAATATAGGTAATCCTGTCTACAGCCATACCACCCTGAACACACCCGATCTCGTCTGATCTCGAAAGCTAAACAGGGTCGGGCCTAGTTGGTACTTGGATGGGAGGAATATAGGTAATCTTGTTTAAGGGCAAAAAACGGTTACTAGGGAGGATGACTAGATGCTTGGGAGAATGAATGGATGGGGGAAACAGATTGAGTTGCAAATGATTCTCTTTAGACATTAAATTAAGCTGAGAGACAGGTATTATATTTAAAATTATTTGGGCCAGGTCTGGTTCCATTCTTCATCTTCTTTTCTGTAATATGTTGAGATAACAGGGAGGGGAAGGGAAGATTGTTCTTTTGATGGGTCTGTTTTTTCATAAAGAAAGAGGGAAAGCCCCTTCCAAGTCCTTTTGATCTCTAAAGGTGTTTAATTCAAAATACTCTTTATACCAAAGAGTCATATTTTGGGGTGAAATTTCCTGAGCTCCTTCCCATGCATAAAAATATTTTACCTATTCTTTCTACTTAATGTAATACAGCTTTTGCTGTAACAAACATATGCCTTGATTGGGATATTGTAATTCTTTATAATTTTACTACCGTCTTAGTCCATCTGGCATAGTTATAAGTTATTGTGGCAAAATATTATGTAGAAATACCTTTAGAAAAGTAATTCAAAAGATTTCTGAGTATAGAAGATCAGAGAGACATGTGGGGTACAAAATGTTCACATACTATTGTTTTCAGCTGTTTCCATTTGCACACTAAGTCACGGAGAACTTGAGCAACAAATTCTTTTCCAAAAGAAAGAGCTCTGAAGATCATATTTTCTCTGGGCTTGCAGACAGTGTTAACAAGTTTAAGTTGATTATTTTGTTAACTAATAAATTTTCTCGAAGCACTATGACAGAAAGTCCATAAGAAATCCATCACCATTACGTTTCCAGATAGTGAGCATATCTCCAGGGGTTCATTTGCATACCATTTTCCTGTTCGTGTGTGTTTTAAGTGAATTCATTTTATTGTTCCATATGTTAAAACAATTAAAACTGACAAAATCCCACAAAGGACATTTCTTTGTCAGCAGAGCAGAAACTAGTTCATCTATGCAACTAGTCCATCTATGGAATCCATCTATGATGGTTCATACAGAACCATCACTTATTGAAAGACCCCAAGTGTGTTTTCTGTTATTCATGCACAAAATGTATCAGAGATCCTGCAGAACTAATTAAAATAAGGCTTTGTGTGTGTGTGTGTCATTGTAGGCTAAAGGTAAAGAAAGACAGTGGCTAAGACACCAAGCTACTGGGGAACTAGATGATGCCAAGATCATTGATGGGCTGACTGGAGAAAAAGCCATCTACAAACGTCGGGGTGAGCTCGAGCCACAGGTAAGTTACGGTGAACTAGTAGCCTCAGATCTGCACAGTTTGGCCTTCTTTACAGAAACCTGCTTCCTTGAGTTGAGTCAAAATATCATCAACTCTGAATATGGCAACCAAGGAAAGCATTATTTAAAAAAGAAGAAGAAGAAACAAAAATATTATACTATTTATTACACAACTCACGGTCCCAGCAAGAAACATAAGACATGCCCAAACTGGGTAACTTAAAGAACACTCAATGCAAAGACCATTTACAAAGGTGAGGGTGGAGTTTAGGAAAACCAGAAAGAAACAGCGCAGTAACCCAGGCCTAGCAATAGCAGGGATCTAGCTCATCCTTGGATCTAAAAGGGCGGAGAGAGCAGTTACTAGAACCTGGAGAAGGTAGTTTATGGCACTGTGGCCTTTGGTAGCAGAGCTATCCCATCAGCAATAGCAGAGAAGGAGCTGAGGAAGCAAATATCCCAACCCTCTGATCACCTGCCAGTGCATCCTATCAGCAGAACCGACTGAAAGCCAGCAGCCAAGAGAGTGGCTGATATGGTTGTAGGTGCCAAGGGAAAATTTCCCCTTCACTCTTTGAAGGTTCTTTGAAAATCAACTGACAAAATGAAGATTGATAGGAGAAAAGGCATATAAATTTATTGACATGGACAAGAGGAAAATCAGGGTGATTACCCCACCACTCAGTGGGGTACAGATTGTTATATACCCTTCTTTTTAGGGGAAAGGGAAATGGGGAAGTGTAGATGATTTTAGGGGGTAGTAAATGATTTTTAGGGGAATCCAAAGGGCTTGAAGAACACACAGTGGCCTGCGACAAAGTCTGTTGGACCTACGGAGCAGACAAAGTCAGTCCAGGTGTGTTGACAGACTTCAGTGTTTCCTCACTTCACCCTTGCTTTGGGAGAGACAGAAAATTGGGAGACCAGGATGTGGTGGGGTCAGAGAAACCTTGAGAGGTGGCTTCAGTTCAGCATGTCAAAGCACCATATTTTGGGGTATCGCTTTCTAAGCCCCAATATTATCCATACAGATCAGCTTCCAGGACACAGAAGGTGCCCTGGAAGGGAAACTAAAGACACCCTATATGTCTGTTAATCCCAGAAGGTCCTTCAGGTGAAAACAATAGAGCAATCTTGGTCGTTTTCTACTGTTCTATTAGTTTAAAGAGCTGTGTCCATCATATAACTGAAGAAAATTTTAGGAAATAAGGAAGTCGCCTTAAGTAACTATAATTGTAATACGTAAAGTTTTACACAGCCATAATTTTTAAATATTTCCAATACAATGGCAAAGAAAAAAAAAAAAAACAACAAGATGAAATACTGAATGTCTTGGAGAGCTCCATGATTGCCTATCTCCCTGAATAACCAGAATTGCTGAGCAGCCACTGAGAGCTGGGGTACAGTGAGTGGTGGGGGGAAGGAGAGTCGCTGCATTTAAATGTTTATTTAGAGGATCTGGTGGTGATTTGGGGAGTTCTTATTTCTGTGTCATTGGTATGAGTCAACAACTGCTTTCTTTACTGACTCATTGTGGTCAACAAATGTCTTTGGATGCGTCTGAAATTGTGAGTAGTCGTAGAAGCATATGTGGCAGAGTCATTAATTTGGGAAGACTCAACAAGTTTTTAGGGAATACGTTGAATTTGCCTCAAACCATTACACTCTTAATACTGACAGTATTTTCTTGAAATTACTAACTCTGCTCATTAATCTTCATCCATGTCAGCAAGTATATAATAACAGAATAATCAGGAATTTTTCTCTTTTTTTTTGTCAGTAAATTGACGAACTTTTTAAAAAAAATCTACAAATGGGCATTCATGGGTCCAAAATCAAACTGGAAGTTTGTTTCACATTTTAATTGACAATTGTTTCTAGACAGCACTTAGATGCCACTTTCATGCTTTTGACTGCCAAGAAAAGAGAAGCCATAGTTCAGTAACTGGAAGGACGAGAAAACTTAAAGCTTATTAAAGACAAAAGACATTTTAAAAATATTTTCCTTACTTTCTTTGCCAAGAACCCCTCTCATATAACTTCATTTTAAGAATTTGACATTTCTTGTGGCCTATGTTGAAAATTATTTTCAGGTCGCCAAGAACCCCTCTCATACAACTTCACTTTAGGAATTTGACATTTCTTGTGGCGCATGTTTAAAATTATTTTCAGGTCACTACACAACAGGTACAAGTGAAATTGATGTGGGCTTCCCTCAGAAATCACACAAACTCTTGCTAGAGTCACCAACTCTAAGGCATGAAGTGAAGGTGACATGTTGCAGTTTATATCTTTCCACATTATTATTTTTAAGACATCATGTTATTTTTAAGGCAGCAGCCTCAGTAAGGCAACTTTACTAGACTAGAGCGGGCTTTGAAAGGACTGTAGTCCGAAGAGAAATCTTTTCCATATGGCCCCAACTACCAGCGCAAGTCTGAAATTCTATTTACTGAAACACAATCCGTGGACACCTTCCCACCTGCCAGGAAGCCATGTGCGGGGCCGAGCCTACGGCTGATCTGCCCGACTCCTGGCTAGCACTCTGGGACCTAGGTGAGATCCCCAGGACAGCAGCCAGGGGTGGTTTGCTGACTCACAAGGCTTCTCTGTTGTTCCTTCCCTCAGCTGGGCAGCCCGCAACAGAAGCCTAAGCGTCTGCGCTTGGTGGTGGATGTGTCTGGCAGCATGTATCGCTTCAACGGGGTGGATGGCCGGCTCGAGCGCTCAATGGAGGCTGTGTGTATGGTCATGGAAGCCTTTGAGAACTACGAGGAGAAATTCAAGGTAATGGTGTGAACTAAGGATGATGAGAGGCGTCATTGACCATATCTGCTCAGAAGTCAGCCTGAGTTAGGGCATCATGATGAATAGGTGGATGCCCTAAGTCTGTTCCCAGACTTCTCAGAGCCTCCTGTCCTTATCCTAATTCCCCATCCCCACGCACTCTTGCCCCATTGCCAACCAGTCAGCCTTCTGAGGTTTGAGCGCACTGTGTCAGCATCACTTTCCCTTCCCACATGGGCATGGGTTATACGGTCACAGATGTCTCCCCAGCTGACAATGAAAAAGATTACCCTGGGAGAAACACAGCCTCCCATTTAAGCTATTTCCATTTTGCTGTTGCTCAGTTTTCTGTACACCCTCCATTTCAGAGGTCTGAGTATGGAGAAGGATCTCCCAATACTGCTGTATCAATGCCCAATATGAGCGTATTAATCTGCTCTTAAAGCCAGCAACAAAGAGCACCTACACTTCTGCCCCTCACCAGAACAAAAAACCTTGAATGTAATCACATGCCATGTCATTATTATCAAAAGTTCAGTTGAGAGAAATGGTGGATGTGCAGTCATGTGTAAAGGGTGCACAGTCTATCCATTGATGTTCTAGATTTTATTCTGCATCAAACACGTCCTTCAGAAATCAGCACTCTGAGATCATTGTTAGGCTTGACATCCACCTGCACCCCGGAATTGCTTCTCTAAGCCATTTCTCTGTGTTATGAGGCATACACCAAGAAACAGATCGATGGAACCCATCACTTCATTTACTCTAGGCCTGTTATTAAGGATTCTGCCCCCTGGATTCCCCAGGATCCCTTGTATGAAGCTCTGCATGAGAAATTCCTTGTAGAATTAAGTGGTAAGAAAAGGGCAGCGGAGGGTCACCAGGCTCTGTACCAGTACAGGATGCAATACAAATAAGACGTGGACTTTCACCGTGGGGAGTAGCTTTGTTTCCCTTGAAGAACTGGAATGTGTTTCCCCTTGTGGATTAGTGAAAGCCATGGAACTGCTCAAGATTCCCTCCAGGTTTTCATCGCCAGGAAGAGCCAAAATCAAAGACCAGCTGTGACAACCTTGTTGTGTCTCTTGCAGGCTGGTATTCAGCTCTTTCCTTCCCCTGCCCCTCCCTCCCTTCAGATGTACCTTTTTCTTGATTTTTATTTTTTGCTTTTTTTTTTTTTTTTTTTTACATTCTATGTGTTTATAGAAAATATTTATTTAAAATATTTTAGATCCTTTCTAATATAAGGTGGAATATGATTCTTAAATCTCAGACCATTGTATCAGCATAAATACCCACGTGCCACCTGATGTTTTAAAACCTTTGGGCCCACTAATATTTGGGTGAGCCCATCTGCATCTCTTATGGATCTTGAACTTCACTGTTGCTCAGCTCTCTTTGAGCTATATGGAGATTTTAACTCATTATAGGCCATAGCAAACATACCACTGTTAAAATTGGCAAATTCATAGTTATCTAAAGTAAAATTTCCAGTTAAAGGATTTCTACATCTTTGAGAACAGAATTGCTCTGACATGTAAAGCTACTTCTTCCAAATTTTTAGAAAGAAGATTTATTAGGAGTTAACCAAGAAATTAGGAATTAACCAAGACACAGGTCCCCAGGAGTGGGTAAAGGATGAGACAGAGGGCAGAAGGTGGCAAAGCTACTAGAGGGTTCAGAGAGCCATTCTGATGCCTCCAGGAGATAGGGTGATCATCACAGAGTGGGCTGAGTATTTCATGGCATCTCGCACAGTGGAGGGTATAGAGAGATTCCTGTTTGTCCAATTCTCACTTTTAAAAGTCTATAATCTGGAAGAACTGTTAATGAAACTAGATGCGTCACACAAAAAAGGAACAATATCAAGAAAATGATCATTTCACAAGAAGTTGTTTCATTTTCCTTTTTATTGATAATTATAAACCAAACTTGCCATAGGACCTGCTGAAAGTCAATTAAATTCAACAAAATTACAAACATTAATTGAACACTTGCTAAGAGTAGAGCACTCTGCTAGGTACAAAACTGAGCTTGTAGTAGCTTAGTGAGGGAGACATGAAAACTACACAGTCCAGCAGAAGGTTGCGTGAACAGTGTGGAGACATAGAGCCTCTTCTCACGCTCCTCTGTAGAGGATCATCCCTACTGCAGTACTTTGCTGACACTGTCTTCAGTTGCCCCTACAGCGTAAAGAATTTCCTCAGTCTTTATCAGTATAACCACAGATATATTGAGAAGATAACCATAGTAATATCTGACTGACAAATCCAGATGAAATTGCAGCAAGACACCAAGATAAAGTAAACTTTTTTCAGGGCTTGAAGTAGCTTTATCATTTTTTATGCTATTAGATTTTTAACAGGAAGTGTTTCAATGGTTTTGCTTTTGTGCATTTTCTTGCACTTGTAAACATACCCCTCACATTCACTACAGTTCTCTTGGAACATTTTTTAAGAAAAAAAAAAGTCTTAAGAAACCAGTGTTTCCCAACCAAAGGAAAAGATTCTAAGACTTCATAAAAGAAGCTCTTTGAACCTCTTTTAGGAAAACTGGTGTTTGGGTGAGTATCTGGAGGAACAAGGTGGCCCATGGAGACGTACAAATCCTGTTCCTACAAATTCCTCATCATGTCCACAGACTTTAGAGCCAGGGTCACTTTTGAGGTCACTTATTGCAGTTCCTCATTCCGCAAACAGGAAACCAAGACCCAGACACATGAAGGACTTTCCCCAAAGTCGGAAAGCTAGTTGGAGACAGAGTAGGATAGAGCCTAGGACTCTTCTTTTGTTTGTTTTCCCTTTTTTATTTGGTTTTATTTTTAAACTTTCCCCTTTATTTCACCACTGTTTTATTTGGAAAAATGTTAAACCTACAAAACAGTTGAAAGAACAGTATAATGAGCACCCATATGCCTTCACTTAGGTTCACCAGTTGTTAACATTCTGCCTCACTTGCTTTATGTTTCTCTCCAAATATTTACATTTTCTCCCCCTCTAAATCATATGAAAGTAAATTACATAAACAGCATAATACTTTACCTCTGTATACTTTATTATACTTCTCCTAAGAGTGAGGACGTTCTCTAACACTACTTCAATACCATTATCACACCTAAGAAAACTATCAGTCATCCTGTACTATCTTATAATGTCCAATTCAAATTCAGTTTTCCCAACTGTCCCAAAAGTGTCTTTTATAGTTGTCCCTTCTCCCCACCCTGCCCCCATCCAGGTTCCAATCAAAAGCCACAGCTTACTTTAGGTTATAATGTCTCATTAATCTTTTTTTTTTTTTTTGCATGACAGTCACTTTCTTGAGAGTCCAGACCAGTTGTCTTATAGAATGTCCCCTATCCTGAATGTGTCTGGTTTTTTTTCTCATGGTGCCGTTTAACTTGTTCCAATATCCCCTGTATTTCCAGAACCCCTAACAGGCCTTCCGTCTATATCAGGCACATTGGAGACTTTGTAACATCTTTCTACCACCCCTGCCAACAGGTCTGAGATTTTGAGTGGCTACAGGCCACCCAATCTCTGCGGGGGCTTCCCAGGCCTCCTCCGTAGAGGGCAAGAGGAGGTGGGATGCAGCTACTTACATTCTGTGAGAGCTTTTACTGTTGATAAGGAGAGTCGTCCCTTAGTATCCACAGGGGATTGGTTCCTGGACCTTCTGAGGACACCAAAATCCTCAGATGCTCAAGTGTTCCCATCAACACTCCGTATCCCCGAGTTCCACATCTGCAGATTGGGAGGGCTGACCGTAAATGTTTTGGGGTGTGGGTAATGTGTGCACATAGTACAAAATGTAAAAGGTATAAGAGGAGTAAGAGTGACGAGTAAGCCTCTGCCCACCCCCTCTCGGCTTCAGGCTCCCTTTCTCCAGTGGCAACCACTGTTAGTGAATTTTTTGATTTCTTCTCAGAAATATTTGATGCATATACACCAAGTGGCCATGTACCATGCATTCTGTTCTGTATCCTGTTGTTATATGACCATATTCAACTTGGTACTTTCATTTGGTCATCTGTGAAAGACACAAGAGGACTAGGAATAACTAATGAATGGATTTAATTTACTCAGAAAATAGAAAAGGATGCATGAGCAGTGGAGCTCCTGGTGAAAAATTTATATTCTGTAGCCCAAAATGACATCAGATGTGATATCTCTAGAAATTCAGCAGTATGATCTGAGACTCCCTCCCTCCCAGTTCCAGACAGTTCTTAATGCTGTTTTCCTGCAGTTATCCCTCAGTTGTAAAGGTGTCCAGTCTGTATTTGCTTTGAAACCTTCAGAAGCCACTGGCCTGGTCTGGTGATCTGGACTCTTCCCTGTCTCTCTTGGCAATGGCTTTGTGTTTTATTTGGCTTGGGCTCAGCTCCTGAGCGGTGGGTCATTACAACCTAGGCCCAGCAGCCTCATTTGAAGTCAGCCTCCACTTTCTAGTCTACATTATCATGAGCTGTGCCAAACCACAGGGACCCTCAAGCAAGAATTGCTGAGAAGGAAAGGTAATTCAATGGCAAGATGCATTTCTAAGCCATTTGGAGTTTTTTAAGTTCTCATAATTGTTTTAGCAACCGAATTCAGTTATCCCCAGGAATTGCATTCACAGTAGGTCACTTAAGACTAGAGCAACATCATTTGCTTATAATCAACATAAACTCCTCTGATCTTATAATCAGCATAATTTTTAATGTTTATATAATGCTTAAACACCAGAATGAAAGGTGGAATAGTAATGATTATGTGAACCATTTTATTTTAATCAGGAAGTGTTTTTTTTCCTTTACCTTCATTCCAATTTGTTCCTCATGATTTCTCCAAGCCCCTGGGAATGCTTTTACTGTAATCTTAAAATGGACCTCCTTTTCAAAAGCTCTTAATGCCTTAATTTTTTTCAAAGTACTCATTAACATCAAAGTTAGGTGACTTTCTCTGCTAAACACTGAAATAGTGGCACCAGAAAACAGATTTATTCGGAAATTGGACTTTGAAAAA